AGGACACAAGCACTCTCTGTGCCTCCCTAACAGCTGGAGCACTTGCTTTCGGGGGGGGGGCACCAGTGCCCACCCTACACATTGTTTATGGTCAACACCCTGTCCCCATGGGTGTGGTTATTCCCAGGACTTTCTTCCTCCAGGTTCATTCTCAGGGTCCAGTCCTCTCCCTGCTCAGTCTCTGCCCCACCTCTCTCAAGAGGGCTCAGTGTCTTTTGTTGGGAAACTGTGGCTGACTTCCCCTTCATCTCTCTCTGTTCTTATTCTCTGTTCCCCCTAACAGCTAGATCATGTTGTTCTGGGTAATATAGATACCTGATCAGCAACAGCTCCTGCATAAGAGCTTAGGCATTGGCAGGGTCTTTTTGTAATAAAGACAAGAGCTGCTCACTGGATATAGTTCCCTTGCCAGTCCTGTACCTCTTGTTACAGTTCTTGCAAATATTTAATTTGCGTATCCAGCTGTTCTGGTGGCCTTCTCTTTTTCTGCCTCTCCTGGGTTGTTAGGACCTTTGGTTTTTCAGGCTAAGGCCTGTTCCCCTCCCCTAGAGGCAATTGCAGTTACCTTCTCTTGGAGTCCTTGCAGCTTTTTCTTTCACTTTTGACTCTTTTCCATCTTTGTCACAATTAGCTTCTATATCTCTTTATTTTTCTCTGCCTCAGTTGCTAACAGGTGTCTCAATTCCTTATTTTTGCCCTCTTCACTTCCTGGCAGCATATTCTGCTTTAAAGAAGCTACTTCAGCCTCAGCTTGCTTGCAGCTTTGACATTCAACCTTCAGCTCCCACCACAAGCACACTGCCTCCTCAACTAATTCATCAAGAGGTAGAATTCATCAGAAAACAGCTGAGACTTTAATACTACATATTCAAGCTTCCCTATGTGTTTGGCTTCCATACACTCCCTCTGGGAACTCAGCTGTCTCTCCAAGGCTTCTCTTGTCCGTTCCTGCATGCTTTTTTGTTATTCACTCTGGAACCGTTGCAGGTGTTGCAGATTCTCTCTCATTAACTCTTGCTGAAGGAACTGGAGATGTTGAAACTGCTGAGGCTGGAATTGGATCTGCTGCAACTACCATCATTGCTGCTGCTGTTGCAGCTCTTTCAGTTCCTTCAGCAGAGCTTCTATCTCCATACTGGAGATCACTTTAAACTGCTGGATTTTACTTCAAACTGTTGTAGTTCACTTTAAAGTGTTGCCCACATTCTCCACCACGTGTAGCAGGTTGAGGATTACTCAGCTCAGTCCTTTATTTTCATAGGCACTGTTCCCTTACAGGAAACTGCACAAACATATATCCTCAAATCAGTAAACAAACATAAACACGATCCATAAAGGGTTAACTCATAGTCCTGGACCTTTTCCCAGACTCTGAGAAGGTGAATGCAGCTCTCTTGTTACTCTCTCAGCACTTCAGTCTTCCTTGTCTCCCTCTCAAGTGCGTTCCCTGGTGTAGTAGTGCTACTTCCAGCCTCAGCTACTGGGTCTCTTCATCAAAGGGTAAATACAGATGTTACACTTAGATCATCCTGTTCCCTTGTATGTGTTATCTTAACCATAACAAGCTATGGATGATTATCAGTTACTTTAATAGGCAGAGTGTCAACTGATGCTATACTGTAACTGATAAGAATAGTAAGCCAGTTGAAGTATGGATAGAAGGCATTTCATCTGAGCTTAACTCCTAAGCCCTAACTGCTTATTTCTTTCAGAAACATCTGATGTTAAATGATTGCCAATTTAATTTCAAGGAAGTGGGCTGGAAGGACTAAACTGATGATCTTTGTGCTGTTATAGGAAAAGCTGAACCAGTATCAGAAAATTACAATTAGTTTGTCAATATAGAGCACATTGCCTCAAAGCAGCATATTCCATGATGCTTCAGAACACATAATATAACATCTGAATTTGATGTTGTGTAAGCAAAATACAAGTAGCTGCTTGAAGATAGACATTGCAGCAGAATCTCATTGATAATGTAGACATGACCAACAAAAACAAGAAAGCATGGATAATAATCTGGAAGTTTAACAATGACACAAAGAAGGCAAGGCAGTGTTACCAATCCAGTCATATACCAATTCATAGAAAATGGTAGGTCCGAATAAACAACCTAAGACATGGCCTAAGCAACAATAACACCAGGAGTCAAACAATTGTGTGCTACAGCCCACACAAAGGCTGAGTTAAACTCTGGAATTACTGCTGTCAAGAATGATAAAACTACTGAACTAGGCAATATTTCCACTAGGTAGATCAAACATTTCAGACTAAGTCCCTTAGTGCTTATTGTCATGTATAAAATACCTAAGATCTGTCAGAAAGGATGCATTGTTGCACTCTTAGGCCAGGGAAAGGTGTATCAAAAAGAGCTTCAGGCCCACATGACTATGACATCATCTTTACAAATTAAATGAGCTTCACAAATCACATAAGCCCAGAGAAATTTGAATACTGTTCAGCTGAGTCATTACCAAGTGCTGAACCTCATTTAGTGTACTGAAAATAAATTTGAAAAGGGTCTGATGATGGACTCTATGTTTGCTGATTTGCCAGTGACACACAATACAATATGCTTCTGGAGGCTCCTCACTGAAATATATGACATTTTAGCTCATATTTTCTGATGCAACCTCTATCAAAGAACCAATGGTTTCCCATCAAACTATGTGCAAAATGATGATGGCAGCAATACCAAAAACCACAAGACAGCATGCTCACACCGAAACTCTTCAACATCTATAAGAATAATTAACTGAGCCATTCAGACACATGATTTATCTATTGTGATGACATATTAATAAGCTATAACTGGGTCATATTATGAGCCCAATACTGGAAAAATCTGTAATTGCTGGGTAAGGTGTGAGAAGGTGACCCCTACTCTAAAAGAGGTAATCTCTTTAAAGATCTCCAGAGACAGATGTGCAAAATAAGGTGAAACTGAACTACCCACTGTTTATTGCTTGTGTTTTGTTTTGCTTTGCTTGAATTTTTTTTGCACACCATTTAATAATAATATAGCAATGGCTAAAAATCAAGATTATTTTGTTGGTCATTAATCTGGTGTTTTATAAGGCATGACAAAACTCCTTGTGATTAAAAGAGAGTCGCATCTTCTAATTGGCTTCCAGAGCAACAGCTTTTAAGATTAAATCTATCATTTTTAACAGTAGGCATATAAAGTGACAAAGTTTTGCCAATAAAAAGATCATAGAATCATAGAATCATAGAAGTAGGGTTGGAAGGGACCTTGTAGAACTTCAAGTCTGACACCCTGCCTGGGCAGGAGAAAAGACTGGACTCAAATGAGTCCAGCCAGGTAGTCATCAAGCCTCTTCTTAAAGATCCCCAGGGTAGGAGCCAGCA